AGCTTGTTAACAATTTGTGACAATGCTGTTTCAACAACTTGTCAACAAGATATTTTCTCAACGGGTTTGTACCAAGCTTGTTAACAAGTTGTGACAATACTGTTCCAACAACTTTTCAACAAGATATTTTCTCAACGACCTTGTAGCAAGCTTGTTAACAAGTTGTGACAATGCTGTTCCAACAACTTGTTGACAAGATATTTTCTCAACGAGCTTGTAGCAAGCTTGTTAACAAGTTGTGACAATGCTGTTCCAACAACTTGTCAACAAGATATTTTCTCAACGGGCTTGTAGCAAGCTTGTTAACAAGTTGTGACAATGCTGTTCCAACAACTTATTGACACGATATTTTCTCAACGAGCTTGTAGCAAGCTTGTTAACAAGTTGTGACAATGCTGTTCCAACAACTTTTCAACAAGATATTTCCTCGACGGGCTTGTAGCAAGCTTGTTAACAAGTTGTGACAATGCTGTTCCAACAACTTTTCAACAAGATATTTCCTCGACGGGCTTGTAGCAAGCTTGTTAACAAGTTGTGACAATGCTGTTCCAACAACTTGTCAACAAGATATTTCCTCGACGGGCTTGTAGCAACCTTGTTAGCAACCTTGTTAGCAAGTTTTGACAATGCTATTCCAACAACTTGTTAACAAGATATTTCCTCAACAGGCTTGTACCAAGCTTGTTAACAAGTTGTGACAATGCTGTTCCAACAACTTGTCAACAAGATATTTTCTCAGCGGGTTTCTAGCAAGCTTGTTAACAAGTTGTGACAATGCTGTTCCAACAACTTGCCAACAAGATATTTTCTCAACGGGCTTGTAGCAAGCTTGTTAACAATTTGTGACAATGCTGTTCCAACAACTTGTCAACAAGATATTTTCTCAACGGGCTTGTAGCAAGCTTGTTAACAAGTTGTGACAATGCTGTTCCAACAACTTGTCAACAAGATATTTTCTCAACGGCCTTGTAGCAAGCTTGTTAACAAGTTGTGACAATGCTCTTCCAACAACTTTTCCACCAGATATTTCCTCGACGGGCTTGTAGCAACCTTGTTAGCAAGTTGTCACAACGCTATTCCAACAACTTGTTAACAATATATTTCCTCAACAGGCTTGTATCAAGCTTGTTAACAAGTTGTGACAATACTGTTCCAACAACTTGTCAACAAGATATTTTCTGAACGGGTTTGTAGCAAGCTTGTTAACAAGTTGTGACAATGCTGTTCCAACAACTTGCCAAAAAGATATTTCCTCAACAGGCTTGTGGCAAGCTTGTTAACAAGTTGTCACAATGCTCTTCCAACAACGTGTCAACAGGATATTTTCTCAACGGGCTTGTAGCAAGCTTGTTAACAAGTTGTGACAATGTTTTTCCAACAACTTCTCAACAAGATTTTTCGCAACACGTTTGTAGCAAGCTTGTTAACAAGTTGTGACAATGTTGTTCCAACAACTTCTCAACAAGATTTTTCTCAACAGGCTTGTAGCAAGCTTGTTAACAAGTTGTGACAATGCTGTTCCAACAACTTGTCAACAAGAAGTCTCCTCAACAGGCTTGTAGCAAGCTTGTTAACTTGTTGTGACAATGCTGTTCCAACAACTTGTCAACAAGATGTCTCCTCAACAGGCTTGTAGCAAGCTTGTTAACAAGTTGTGACAATGCTGTTCCAACAACTTGTCAACAAGATGTCTCCTCAACAGGCTTGTAGCAAGCTTGTTAACAAGTTGTGACAATGCTGTTCCAACAACTACTGTACACACGTAAAAACGCACAAGTTGTCACAAGTCTGTTCACAAGCTGTCAACAAGTTGTGTTTGCATTGCTTGTTCCTAGTTTGTTGCAACAAGTTTGAGACAAGCTGTTAACAACTTGTAACAAGCTTGATGGCATTATCAGCCTTGTTACAAGACTGTGCTAACAAGTTTGTCACAGCCATGATATAACAAGGATGTTACAAGGTTGTCAACACAAGGTTGTAACAATCTTGTTATATCAAGCATGTAACAGTCTTGTCTGAACAACTTTGCAACAAGTCTGATATTTTCGACAAGGTTGTTAGAAGTTGTCAACAGGTTGTTCCAGACCTGTTGACAACTTCTGCCAAGCAGTGCGAATACATCTTGTTGACGGCTTGTTGGCAGACTTGTTACAACTTACAAGATGTGAGATTTTTACGTGTGTAGTTAACAAGATGTCTCCTCAACAGGCTCGTAGCAAGCTTGTTAACAAGTTGTGACAATGCTGTTCCAACAATTTGTCAACAAGATGTGTTTGCAATGGGTTTGTAGCAAGCTTGTTAACAAGTTGTCACAATGCTGTTCCAACAACTTGTCAACAAGATGTCTCCTCACCAGGTTTGTAGCAAGCTTGTTAACAAGTTGTGACAATACTGTCCCAACAACTTGTCAACAAGATGTGTTTGCAACAGGTTTGTAGCAAACGTGACAATACTGTTCCAACAACTTGTCTATAAGATGTGTTTGCAATGGGTTTGTAGCAAGCTTGTTAACAAGTTGTGACAATGCTGTTCCAACAACTTGTCAACAAGGTGTGTTTGCAATAGGTTTGTGGCAAGCTTGTTAAGTTAGGTTACAAGTGTTAAGTTACACCTCTGTCATGCCTAAACTGGGAAACATAATTTGCAACTTTGCATGCCGAAACGTAACCTGAAATTAACAATAACATCACTTGTTTGATAACTGACACTTACTGTTTGTCCATATGCAAAAACAGTGGCATTGTAGCCTTCAAAACATCCTTCAACCAATGGTTCAACACAAGTTTTATAAACTTCAGACTAGAAAAATGTAACAATTACTTAATAGATAAGCAACTTATTAACCTGCAAATAAGTTAGACTAGTGTAGTTTAGGTTTCCTCCTATAATAACACTGGATCAATAAGAAATTATCCTTACTGGACCTCTAGGGAAAACAGTTTAGAACTGATAGAGTTATCCAGTATAAATAAAGTTAGTTACATGAAATTTAGACCTCAACCCACCTGAGTGACCGAAGGTTGAAATACATAGTCAAATGTGAACGCTTTGTCTTTCCCGAGGATCAACTGGGGTTTATCAGGTACAAATGTGATACACTTGGGGACATTGTGGGTCTTCTCTTGGCCTACAAGTGGCCTCACCTGGATAAAATAGGAATAACTTGGACTTACATTATATATCTGGAATGCCTAAACCTTATATCAGGAAATTGTAATTTGTTCAGGGACTACATTAATTTACTTTAAACATTAGTATGCAGGCATTAGGCAGAGTAAAATAATAAACTGAGAAATTGGCTCAAATTTTTTCAAATACACCCTTCCGTAAAATATGTCACCTTGGCCATAGAGCCTCAGTTTTGTGTATGAGATGTTAGTTAAGCCTAACGTCTCAATCGCAAAAACAAGCCTCTATAGCCAAAAATATGCAGTACTTACTGGAAGCGTGTATTTGTAAAATATATTGCAAATAATTTCAGAAAAATCTGCTCAAAATATGCCTTTGTGAACCAAGAACCAAGCAGATTTCTGATCCTTCTATTTGACAAAAACACTTTCAGTCATAAATACTTCTATGAAAATATCTGACATTTAAAAACACTCTGTGACCCTGTAGAATAGGAAGGTACACCAGAGGTCTCACTCAAGCTAGTATTTGTCCCCAATTTTACAAGCGATTCGTCATCAATCACGCCATCCTGGCTAGTACAACCGCTTTGTACCTGCCAAAACCTTATAAAAACTTCCGGCTGTACGTACTACCCAGGATGGCGTGAGCGAGTTAAAATTTTTGTAGACGTAAACACCGACTCAAGTTACAATTCTGCTGCTACAATTTTGAGACCCTGTGCAAAGCAAAAGCCAGTCTGTATAACTACAGACTCTGTAAAAGATTGACCTTCTATGGGGTTCTATGGTTCTATGGTTCTTCTTCTATGGTTCTTCCCGGGTTTTTCTATAAGTGAGCTGGCTTTCCCTTTCAGTTTATAGCATCCAAATTCCCCTATTACATTAATTTCATCCAATGTCGATTCAATAAAAAATTAACAAACAACATAATACAAAGACTAACTGATAGTAAATATAAAATGTCAATATGTCATAAACATATATATAAAATGTCAAAAGCTCCAAAAAGCACTGATTTTCAACATACCCTCACCGCTACGCGTACAGGAACTTCCTCCATAGAAAAACTACATGGACTTCATAACTGTATTCTTACCACAAAATCACCACTATTTCACTCAAATAATAAAAGCACAAGCATGCACATTTTTCGACGCCATCTTTGTTTACCGCGAAGCTTTCTCGTTAGCAACAAAGTACGATAAGACGCGAATTTTGATTGGATGAAATGCTAAAAGACAATTTTTGATTGGTCAAAAAGCATAATTTCAGCGAATCGTCTGCGTACATTTTTGTGATGCCATTCAAAGTATTTCATCTTCTTTTCCCTGTAAATGGACCATTCCCCAATTAACCAAAATTTTGAACTCAACAAGTCTAGACAAAAATTTCATCACAGCTTGAAAGAGCATCACAAAATTAGTAATATTCCAAAGTTTTGTTGCAAAATGTTGTAAAATGCGGATAATATAGCCTTGCGAAGTTTGCAATTTTCAGACATTTTAGATTACTACAAACGGGAAATGGTTACCACTTCTGTGCGTAATACCGTAGGGTATCATGAGCGAAAGTTTTGGACCGCTCCCAGATAAAATTCTCATAACTTTTTGCATTTCTTTTTGCCATTATTTTTCCCAAAAGTCTCCAAATCGCTCCTCATGACAACCTGATAGTCATTTTTTGATAAAATTTTGTATATTTGGACAATTTTGAGTCGATTTAACCAACGACGACGAGGGATGAACCAACGATGTATAACGATGAAGAGAATCTCATCTAGGGTTAAATCCAAAAAATCTACATACAGCTAATACAACGAAAAATAGAATACTGAAGTCTTATAATTTGTTACTTGCTTCCATCGTTGACATCATAGTATAGTGGTAAACAGGGGCGTAGCCAAGGGGGGGCAAGGAGGGCGGTCGCCCCCCCAATCGCAAAAAAACTATTCTCTGAAAAAGGCTAAATCCGTAGAGAAATCGGGGGGGGGGGGGGGGGGGGGGGG